GTTTGCTCTTCAAAAGTTGCGCAGGGCCAAGCAGAGTCATGGTGAATCGGTACAGGCATTTGGTGATACATTAATTAATTTGGCAGAGGATGCTTATAATTCAGAGGATATTGCACACCCTTTCATTCAGTCGCATTTGGTTGACGTTTTTGTAGATGGGTTAATAGAGGACAGTGTAGCTCGAAGGTTAATTCGTAATCGCCCCGAAACAATTGATGCTGCTTTGAGGACGGCCTCCTTTGAACAACAAGTCTCCCGCACATTCAACATTCGTAGGAACCGCGAAGAAACCCCAATGGAAATCGATGCCCTTTCAAAGTCCCAAGTTGACAATGTAAAAATACTGACGGACAAAATGGATCAGATATTAGCACTATCTAAAAAGGTCGACTCACCTTTCGACAGTTCCCAGCCCAGAGTTCCGGACTATTCAGGTGCTAGCAATAATGTTCAAAATTATCACCACCAGCAGACTAATTCTTTCAAGCCTTGTTTTCAGGAGCATTTTCCTAACCAACCCCAACGCCCACCCCCTCGACGATCTTATCAATACACCCCAGATGGTCGACCTATTTGTTTTAAGTGTCATACCCCCGGCCATGTTCAGAGATACTGTCGACGTATGCAATCATCTTTTAACCCTTCAAAAAACTAGTTCAACCCAGGAATGTCACGGTAACTGAAAAGACAAACCTGGGTAATAATAAACCATTAGTAGGCAATACTTATTGTGCTATTAAAATGTCCAAATGTTTACTGTACGCTCTAAATGATTCCGGCGCTGAATGCTCTGCTATTGACTATACAACATTCCTAAAACTTCCAAAAAGAAAATTATCCAACTTCATTACTGATAGGGACAAATTGCATAAAATGGTCGGCGTCACAGAGACATCCTTAAATGTCAAAGGTAAATGTACGTTACGATTTAGGTTAGGCCAAACAAACATTAAGTACGAATTTCATATAATACAAAATTTAGGCAGATATGATTCTAGGGAACGTTTTTTTTTCAAACTTTCGGTATTATATTGGATTATAATTGTCACACCTTACGTTTAGATAATGAAATTATTCCATTGTATTCTCGATCAAAAACTGGGCAATATAAAACAGTGAAATTACTGCACATCCGGAAGTCTACGCATGTCCCACCAAACTCATCTAATATTTTAGAACTTAAAATTCCGCATTATATGAAAGGAAAATGCATATTAGTTTCACCAATCGATACGTGTAAAACCTTATTTGATCAACCCGGTCTATTAATATCCAGCAGTATTCATTGTCCCACAAAAACAAGTGTTCATGTGGAATTAATTAACGAAACTGGCTCCTCCTTTAGAATTAAAACAGATTTTGGCAGTCGCGGAAGTAATCTCACCTAATAGCATTGTTAACGACCAAGTGTCATCCGTTTGTTCAATTAATAAAGAGGAACGCCCACTTACTTCAGACTTAATTAATGATAATTATAAACAAGCGTGTGTGACCATTAGGTTGTTAAATTAATTTGATCTGCTTCAAGAGTCACACAGACCAAGCCAGGTGTCACAATTTTGATTAATAGCTTACTTTCCTCAATTACTTTTATCAATTTCATGCTTTTTAAAGTGTATTTTGAAGGCACAAAACGACAAGTAATGTCAGTGAAAGAGATTTTGCCAAGCCTACTGTAGCACCTAGACTGCCCAACAGGAACAAGGGGGTGCTAAAAAATCAATGGGCACCATCTCAAACCTTTCAACCCCAAATTGCGAAGTACATGTCAGCGAGAGACTGTATCAAATGGCAAATGAAACGTGTTCTTACTACAATGATAATGACACAAAACTCATTAGTTTTTAAGCACTTTGTTACAACTAATAATTCAAACATCATTATGTTCGAGTAGTACGAATCTGGAACGAAATCAAACATAATGCAATAAATAGTATGAGTCATCAATTTAAAACTGCAAATATTCCAAGTTAAT